GTTATTAAATCACCCTCACCCTTCATCAGCAGCCCTGTATTTTCCTTCTTAACCTTGGTCTCTAATGTGTAATTGAAACTCTTCCTTTTACTCTTGACTTTTCCTTTCAACCACCAGCTCCAGGCAAGCGTTGCCTTCCTAAAAACAATGAGGTCTATACATATAAATTTGTCCTTTGTAAACTGTCCTTGCTGTCACCTCCCAGCAGCTGCTTCATGGTCCCTGTCAGAGCCAGACCTGTCCCTGCACTGACACAAACTCCCTGCCCCATAAATGCATTATTGTCAAGGAAAGACCCGTGGTGCAAGGCAAGGTGTCTAGGCCAATCCAAGCCATGGGCAGTGGAGGAAGGGAACAAGGGTGGGCTGTTGCTATGCTAGGCTAGTGTACTGCAACATCTGTACCTAAATAGATAGACAAAATGGATCCCTCCAAGAGTTGGACTTGAACCTTCCATTTATCCAGAACCTGGCCCTGGGATCCTCTCATTCCCCTGCTCCACCATGCACAAATGCTGGGCCCGTGCAAAGCTCATGAATTCCAACAAGGCCAGGTTCAAGGTCCTGGCCATGCATCGGGGCAATCCTAAGCACAGGTACAGGCTGGGCAAAGAGTGGATTGAGAGCAGCCCTGCAGAAAAAGACTTGGGGGTAGGAGTGGATGTAAAACTGACTATGAGCCAGCAACGTGAGCTCACAGCCCAGAAAGCCAACCGTGTCCTGGGCTGCATGAAGAGAAGAGTGGCCAGCAGGTTGAGAGAAGTTTTTCTCCCCCTCTCTGCTCTTATGAGACTCTACCTGCAGTGCTGTGTCCAGATGTGGGACCACCAGCATAAGAAGGACACGGACCTGCTTGAGCTGGGCCAGAGGAAGCCATGAAGATGATCAGGGGGCTGGAGCACCTTCCCTGTGAGGACAAGCTGAGAGAGCTAGGGGTGTTCAGCCTCAATAAGAGAAGGCTCCAGGGAGACCATCTTGATGTTTTCCAGTAATTAAAGGGATCCTGCAGGAAACGTGGCAGGAGACTCTTGATCAGGGATTGTAGGGAGAGGTCAAACGTTAAGGTTTAATACTAGAAGAGGTTAGATTGAGATCTAAGGAAGCTATTCTTTACTGTGAGGGTGATGAGACACTGGAACAGGTTGCCCAAATTGGTGATGGTTGTGTCCTCCCTCGAACTTCTCTAGGCAACCTGTTCCACTGTCTCCACAGTCTCATGGTAAAACATTTTTTCTCTAAATCAAATCTAAATCTAAAATCATTGTCCCTTTTCCTGCCAATACAGGCCCTGATAAAAACCCTCACTTGGTCTTTCTTGGCCTATGACCACTCTATTTTAATACAAACAACTTGGCAAGTGCCCAGACATCTCCCAAGATGGGGTTCGTATGCCTCAAGTGCATGAGCAGTATAGGGAGATTGAATGTCGTAGGAGAGTGGAGTGAAGACTTGGGACAGTCTAGGAGTAGACTGACAGTGCTTGAGGAGAGGTTTCAGAGATGTTGATTTCCTTCATAGTGGAAAACAGCATGAGAAAGAAATAATGCCACAAAGTGCAGCTGGGGAAGGCCAGAGTGGAGACAAGCAGCAAAGCAACGCATCACTCAGAAGGATTCTGGATCAGCCCAAGGCTTTGCGTTTCAAGAAGAGCCAGGGAGGATGGTGAGAGATCAGGAAAGGAAGGAAGAGGCTCAGGTGGGAACGAGGTGAGACAGCTGGGGGGATGAGGACAGCCTGCAGGGAAAGAGGCGCAGGGGGTGCAACCCCATAGGACAGCCTGTGGTGGAGATGACAGAGGGCTGTGGGAAAGCTGAAAGCCCCCAGTAATGTCAACCCCATCACGACTTTGGCTATGGCTGTTGTCTCTGCCACTGATGCCTGTGAGGAGGCACAGTCCCTTGCAGCACAGGGGCCTCATGGCCTCCTTGTGCATCCTCAGGAGCCTGGGAGGTGCACATCTCCATAGCCCCTACCCCAGGAAGAGCCCTGAGGAATGTGGGAGGGACAGGATCTCCCTTCCCAGGGGCTGGGGATCACGGCATGGCTATTTGTTTAATTGGCATGGGTACTGGCCCTTTGTCTTAATGCAACACATTCAGGTTTACTCAGCATCAGAGCCACCTTTCCCTTTTTGTTTCACTGCCTCCAGATTTCTGCTCTAACAGGAACCTGAGGAGGCTTTGTCAACAGTGTCCCTCAGTGGGAGCCATTAACACTCCAGGAAACTTTGGAGTTTGAATATAACTCTGACTTCTTCAGAGGTTTCTTCAGGTTCTTCTCAGTGCCTGAGGTTCATGGAGTTGGCACCAAACCCTCCTGAGGGGTCATTAAACTGCCTTAGGCTGTTGCTGTGGTGCTGAGCTGGGCCGGGCTCCTGGGCCGGAGGGAGCTCCTGGCAAGTGGGCAGCGCTGCAGAGAGACAGCTCTGCCCAGGAGCAGCTCCTCTGCAAAGCGCAGCAGGGCTGGGGGCACTGCCTGCAGGCACCCAGGGCAGAGCAGCGAGGCACACACAGCTTCAAGGCAGCCTGGGCTGGGAGGCTGCTGAGAGCTCCGAGGAGGAGAAAGCGTCAGGGCCCTGGCCACAGTAAGTCTGGGGGTGCAGGGCAATGCAGCTGCAGCTCGGGGAGGGATCTGGGGAAGGCGCAGAGCTGCCAAGAATCTGCCTCCTGCCTAAAGGAGGAGGAGGAGGATCTGCTCCGAGCAGGGCTTCCCTGGTGCCCCCTGCGAGGGCCAGGGCATGAGGGCTGCCTTCTGGCGGGGCCGGCTGCAGGGGTGTGCAGCCGGGTGTGCAGGCAGGGGTGCCCAGGGCTGTCCTTCCCAGCAGGGTCCCTGCACCCCAGGGGCTGTGTGCTGGGGCAGGGACTCTGCCGCCTGCCAGGGTCAGCACTCAGCCTGCCCGGGGAGCTCCCCACGGCGCTGTGGGGAGAAGCTGTGGGGGGAAGGAGAGACCCCCGCCAGGGCAGGCTCCTTCTGCTCTCCAGAGGCTGCTGCCTGGATCAGGGGTGCTCACAGCTCCAGATCTTCCCCAGCTCATTTCCCACTCAACTTTTCACAAGTACTTTCCTCTCTGGGATTTTCTTTTTGTGTCTGTGCTGTCTGGACTCTCTGCTTCTACTTTTCTGTGGCTTCCGTCTTTCTATCAGCTTTGCTGATGAGAGCAGGGGCTGAGATTCTTAAGCTGTAACAGTGAGGATTACCGGGAACCTCAGAATGTGCCTTCTCGCCCCACCAGCTAACAAAACACACCATCATCACCTTTCCATTTTCATCAGGGTTTGGGTGGGCTGTGCTTTAAGCCCTGCACACACAGAGAGGCTGCAGGGCAGAGCTGTGCTCACAGGGGCTGGGTTGGGGACTGTGAGCACTGGCAGGGAGGAAACATGGGCTCAAAGACAGAACTGCCAGCCTGGGCAGCTCAAGGCAGAGGAGATGTGGGCAGGGAGGGAGGGAAATGCTAAGGGAAACCCTGCTGCAGGGCAGACTCCTTCCCTGAGCAACACTCCTCTTGTCTCCTCTGCCACCCAGCACAGCCCTTAGCCCGTGGCTCCTGGCCGTAGTCACCTCCTGGCCCAGCAGCCCAGCAGAAGGGATGAAGTGCATCTCTGCTGCCAGGGGCCCAGTTCCCGCTGAGCAGGGCCTGAGGCGACTGTCCTGCATTGCTGCTGTCTGGGAGGGGCTGTGCAGAGCTGCCGAAGGGAAAGGCTTTCCTGAGAGCCCCTGTCCCTCTCCTTGCCTTGCTCAGATGCCCTTGGTGTTGTTGACAGGCTCTCTGGGAAGGGGGTTTCAGCTGCAGAGTCAGGCACAGAGCTTGGGAGCCCTCCTCTGCAGATGTGCCCCCAGCAATGAGGTGTCCCAGCTTTCCTCTAAGCCGTGAAGCTCTGGGCAACGCAGTCTGTGAGGCTGGGCCAGGAGCTGGCTCTCCCTTAAGAAGTTGCCATGGTTGGGACCCTTGGCTCTCTCCTTGGGGTGTCCATCGCAGCTGTCTGCTGCTTCCAGGGGACTCTGTGAGCCGTGGGTGACATTGGCTAAAGTGGGGTGCTGACACTTGGAAAAAGGGTGAGTCGTCTGGTGCTCTGCAGTGGATCCCTCTGCTCTCAGCACTGTCTTGCTGGTTTTCAGGGTAACACGGGAGTGTAATCACCCTCAGTCTTAGAAAGGTGCAAGTCCAGGGCAGATGGGAACAAGACAGGACAGACCTGCTGCTCTCACTCTGCACTAAGGCACAGCCAATCGTCTTGCCTCACAGGACTCACTCTGCTCTCCCTGAGTGCAGTAGAAAACCCTCTCAACCTGCCTTTTGTTCTCTCTGTTCCTTAGCACCGGCAGAACAGAGACTGACAAGCCCTTCAGGGTTAGGAGTAGGATTTTCTGACAAATCACTGAAAGATCTGACTCCTCAGTAGAAAGCAGGCAGAAACTGTTCACACCATGGCATGTATATCCAGCAGCAATCAGAGCTCCAGCCACAGAGCTGAAGAAAGTTCTCAGGAAAGGAAAACACAGTGATGTGTAGCAGCAGGGATGTTACTAGAGAAAGGAGATAGATTTTTCTCAGAGAAGTCTCTCCTGACTTGTCACTGTTTTTCCTCCTTGAACAGCCTTCCATGTTCAGAGGAAGCAAATGTCCAACAGCAGCTCCATCACTGAGTTCCTGCTCCTGGCATTTGCAGACAGACGGGAGCTGCAGCTCCTGCACTTCTGGCTCTTCCTGGGCATCTACCTGGCTGCCCTCCTGGGCAACGGCCTCATCATCACCGCCATCGCCTGCGACCACCACCTCCACACCCCCATGTACTTCTTCCTCCTCAACCTCTCCCTCTCGACCTGGGCTCCATCTCCACCACTCTCCCCAAAGCCATGGCCAATGCCCTCTGGGACACCAGGGACATCTCCTACTTGGGATGTGCTGCACAGGTATTTTTTTTCTTTTTCTTTGCTACAGCAGAGTTTTCTCTTCTCACCATCATGGCCTATGACCGGTATGTTGCCATCTGCCAACCCCTGCACTACGGGAACCTCCTGGGCAGCAGAGCTTGTGTCCACATGGCAGCAGCTGCCTGGGGCACTGCGTTGCTCTATTCTCTCCTGCACACTGCCAACACTTTTTCCCTACCCCTCTGCCAGGGGAATGCTGTGGACCAGTTCTTCTGTGAAGTCCCTCAGATCCTCAAGCTCTCCTGCTCTTACTCCTACCTCAGGGAAGTTGGGCTCCTTGTTGTTAGTGCCAGTTTAGTTTTTGGGTGTTTTGCTTTCATTCCTTTTTCCTATGTCCAGATCTTCCGTGTGGTGCTGAGGATCCCCTCTGAGCAGGGACAGCACAAAGCCTTTTCCACGTGTCTCCCTCACCTTGTCGTGGTCTCCCTGTTTATCAGCACTGCCATGTTTGCCCACTTGAAGCCCCCATCCATCTCCTCCCCATCTCTGGACCTGGTGGTGTCATTTCTGTACTCGGTGGTGCCCCCAGCAGTGAACCCCTCATCTACAGCATGAGGAACCAGGAGATCAAGGACGCACTGAAGAAGCTGATTCATTCAGTTGTCTCTCAGTAGGAATAAGCTGCCCATGTCTCTTCAAAAGTAATTTCTAATTTATCTCTGAATCTTTCTGTGCAGTAAGCATTTTATTTGTGACAATCTTATTTGTTCCAAAAAGTCTGCATCCACTCTTCTTCCTCAGAGACATGAGCCAGCCTCTGACCCAGAGCCCTTTGTGCGTGTATTTAATAGGACAGTACAGCTGGCCTCCATATATCCAAATATATCCATAATAAAAGAGGATTTTTTCAGTGTCAGTGTCTGGAGGTTGGTCTGTTCTTCCAAAGCTGAGGTCAGGAACAGGATGAAGGAATTGCCCCTCTGAGCATGCTGCTGTGCTGGGGTTCTCCAGGGGTTCAGGGCAGGAGGGCATGGGGGGATGTGTTAGGGAATAGGCCTGTGCTGCCCCTTCACGTGGGGGTGCCCAGTGCAATGGCAATGATGGCTGATCCATGGGGATCTCCCTGGGACCATCTCCCCGTGGCTTTCAGCCACCACTGCCCTGCAGAGCAGCACCGCCAGCTCAGGGCCGTGCCTGAGGTGACATCCCGCGACAAGAGCAGACCTATTTCTGGAGGCACAGTTTGGGCAGCTTTTCTCGCTGGCACAGCAGGAGCTGCCTGGGGAGCCCCCAGTGCAGGAGTCTTGTGCTGGGGAGAGGGACGGGCACAGAGGGGCTGCCAGCACTGGGCAATCTTGGAGAGAAGAGCAGCAGAGAGAGGGAGACGCTGGCCTGCGCTGCTCATGGCATGGCTGGCCCCAGCCCTGGGGCTGATGGGGAGGCTGAGAGCCCTCTGTGCCCCAGGAGCTGCTGTGACCTTCCGAGGGGCTGTGGCTGTGGGGTGAGTGCCCAGAGCTCTGCAGCACCCCCCAGCCTATCTCGCTGGTCATTTCCAGCACTGGCTGCTCACCCAGGTTTATGGGTGAGCGTTGCTGCTAAACCATCTCCATCCCCTGCTGGTCTCAGTGCCTGTATGGGGGGACCAGCCAGCCCTGCCCGGCCTCTCTCCTGGTGCAGACCCTGGCAGACTGAAGAGAAGGGCGGTCCCCACATGGGACACAGCTGGGGTATGGAAAGGGTTGGATAATGGGGGAGTCTGCAAAATGTGCCTTATGAGGTTATGTCCTGCCAGGGCTATGGGGGGGACGATGAACTGATTGCTCTCATGGACAACGTAATGGGGGGAACTTCAGAAACACCTGAATACACCAACAAGCCCATGACTCTTTCATTCCCTCTTCAAAAATATAGACTTATACATCCATTTCTAAAACACATTTCTTCTTTATATTTTGAATGGAGAAACTGTTTCCAAGACATATTTCTATTAAGACATTTAATGTCTCCATTGCATCTAAACAGAGCTGAGAGCAATGGAGGTTGAAGAGGTTACATAGAGCCCACTAGTGTTTCCTTGCTATCAAGCAAAGAAAGCATTTGTAGCATTTCCCTCATATGTCCCCTGGGTTTGAGCTGGCCAAATCTGTACGGGGTGGAAAATTGCACAACATCACGGCCCTCCAAGTGCCAGACCCCAACATATACACAGAGGCCCCAGGCACAGCCAACAAAAGGAAATGTCCTTCCTATCTGATAACCTGATAAACTTCTCCAGTGACTGACTGGCTTGGTAGAGGAGTACAAATTGTCCACCTGGACTTCAGGGAGGCTTTTGGCAGTGTCTCCCAGAGAATCCTCATCGATGAGCTGGTGAAGCAGAGGCTGGAGAAGCAGACAGTGAGGTGGTTGAAACCTGGCTGAATGGCCAAGCCCAGAGAATGGTGGTCAGTGGCATCAGGTCTCGATGGAGGCCGGTCACCAGTGGGGCACTACAGGGGTCAATACTGGGTCCAGTCCTGTCCCTCCAAACCTCAACTTTACTGTGATTTGATGGTCCTGTGACATCCTTTCTGGGAAATCAGTGCTGCCGGGCACCTCTCTGAAGTGCCAGTGCACTGATGTGCGGGGCGTGCAGAAGGAGGAATTAGTTCCAGTGGGCTACAGGCTCATGTGGAGAGCAGCGTGGGTGTGAGATAGCACACAACAGGAGCGCAGGCAGGGACGGACAGGCCTGTAAGGCAAGGAGGGGCAGTCACCCTTTACGACAGAGCCAGTGGCGGGAATGGCTGGAGCTCTGCCTTGGGACAAGTGATGGGCCTCTGCGAGCTCATGGGTCAGGGTGAGCAAGCAGAGCAACACTGTCCCGAGTGACCACCAGAACAGAGAGAACCCAGGTCATGGACTAAAAGAACTCAGTGGACATTCTGTGGACGCTTCACAGGGGTGGTCCATGGACTAAGGGGTTGATATCTGTGTTCAAATCAAAGGAGGGGAAGGAGGATGATGGTTAATGAGGATGGACGGATAGTGTGAGACCTGAGCATGCTAGAAATAGCACGGAATGTGGGCTGGAGGTTGTCCAGGGTTTTGCTGGGATGTAGGTAATATAGATTAGATATAGTCCCCAGGTTGGAATTCTTGCACAGGATTCCACACCACCACCCTCCAGAGTCTAACTAAAGTTTTTCCAAAGGAAAGCCAGTAATTATACACTTGTTTTCTTGTTACATGCATATTTGGATTGGGTTTCAGCGTCTCTTATGGTTTTCCATAAAGTAATTCTTAGGGGCTGGCTGACAACTCACTCCTCAGTTGTATTCTAATATGCAGTAATGCCAGTGGGAGTGCTCGAGGCCATTTCAAGTTAGCCTCTTGACTTCTTTTGCTAATTTGTCTCTTTAAAGTCTAATTAATTCTTTCTACTTTTCCACTGGATTGTGGTCTCCAGGGAGCATGCAAGACCCAGGTCATCCCTAGAGCTTTGCTCATGTCCCGAACCACAGTTCCTATAAAATGCCGATTCCTATCTGACGATATTCCAATGGGCACCCCAAATTTTGGGGTTATTTCTTATAAAAGCCACTTAACTGTTTCTTTAGCTTGATTTGTGTGACTGGGAAGGGCTTCCGGCCATCCATAAAAAAGTGTCAATCCTAGAGATAACATACTGATAAACTTTGCATTTGGGTAATTCTGTAAAATCAATCTGCCAATAGTCACCAGGTTCTACTCCTGTTTTTGATTTACCCATTTGAACCCTTTTTTGTACCACCGGATAATTCTTTAAACATAGTTTGCAGTTTGCAGCAACTGATTTAGCCATTTCTAACATTCTTCCTGCTACTATGTGCCTCTTCAGGAATGTCACCAGGGCTTCTACACCCCAAAGGCATTCCTGATGTTTTACCTGTTAGTATTGCCCTCATAATTAATGGGGGCACAACCACCTGACCTTCAGAGGTTGTCCACCATCCCTCTGGATTTTCTCTGCACTTAGGAATTGAGCTAATTTCTCATCTTCTTTTGAATGTGTTGGTGGTTCCTTAGGGACAATTACAGTTCGAGTAGGAATTACTGCCATTTGTAACCCTCATTGTTGAGCTGCATTCTTAGCAGCTGGGTCTGCCAATCTATTTCCTTCTGCTACTATTGTATTTCTGGATTGATGTACTTTACAGTGCATGATTGCTATTTGGGCCAGTTCTTGAACCACCAGTAACAATTGTAAGATATCCTTTTGATGCTTAATATTTGCCCCCTGGGAGGACAATAGTCCTCGTTCTTTCCATAGAGCTCCATGGACATGGACTACTCCAAAAGCATATTTTGAATCTGTCCATATGTTCACTAAAGAAAGCAAGAAAGAAAGCAAGAAAGAAAGCAAGGAAAAAACAAGAAAGCAAGAAAAAAAGAAAAAAAGCAAAATAGAAAGCAAGAAAGCAAGAAAGGGAGAAAGGGAGAAAGAAAGAAAGAAAGGGAGAAGAAAGCAAGAAAGAAATTAAGACAGGAAGAAGCAAGCAAGCAAGCAGAGAGAAAGAGAGAAAAGGAGAAAGGGAGAAAGGGAGAAAGGGAGAAAGAAAAAGCAAGAAAGCAAGAAAGCAAGCAAGCAAGAAAGAAAGGAAATAAAGGAAGAAAAGGAAAGAAAGCAAGAAAGCAAGCAAGAAAGCAAGAAAGCAAGAAAGCAAGAAAGAAAGCAAGAAAGCAAGAAAGAAAGCAAGAAAGCAAGAAAGAAAGCAAGAAAGAAAGCAAGAAAGCAAGAAAGAAAGCAAGAAAGCAAGAAAGAAAGCAAGAAAGAAAGCAAGAAAGCAAGAAAAAAGCAAGAAAGAAGAAGAAAGCAAGAAAGAAAGCAAGAAAGCAAGCAAAAGCAAGAAAAGCAAGCAAGAAAGCAAGAAAGCAAGCAAGAAAGCAAGCAAGAAAGCAAGAAAGCAAGAAAGCAGCAAGAAAGCAAGCAAGAAAGCAAGAAAGAGAAAAAGCAAAAAGAGAAGAAAGCAAGAAAGAAGCAAGAAAGAAGCAAGAAAGAAGCAAGAAGAAGCAGAAGAAAGAAAGAAAGAAGAAAGAAAAAAGCAAGAAAGAAAGAAAGAAAAAGAAGAAGCAGAAGAAAGAAAGAAAGAAAGCAAAGAAAGAAAGAAGAAGAAGAAAGAAGAAAGAAAAAGAGAAAGAAAGAAGAAGAAAGAAAGAAAGAAAGAAAGAAAGAGAAAGAAAGAAGAAAGAAAGAAAGAAAGAAGAAAGAAAGAAGAAAGAAAGAAAGAAAGAAAGAAAGAAGAGAAGAAAGAAAGAAAGAAAGAAGAAAGAAAGAAAGAAGAAAAAAAAAGAAGAAAGAAGAAAGAAGAAAGAAAGAAAGAAAAAAAGAAAGAAAGAAAGAAGAAAGAAAGAAGAAGAAAGAAAGAAAGAAGAAAGAAAGAAAGAAAGAAAGAGAAAGAAGAAGAAAGAAAGAAAGAAGAAGAAGAAAGAAAGAAAGAAAGAAGAAAGAAAGAGAAAGAAGAAAGAAAGAAAAAAGAAAGAAAGAAAAAGAGAAAGAAAGAAGAAGAAGAAAGAAAAGAAAGAAAGAAGAAAGAAAGAAGAAAGAAAGAAAGAAAGAAAGAAAGAAAGAAAAAAGAAAAAAAGAAGAAGAAAGA